TTAATTTAAAAAAATATAAAATAACAGTTATTATAAAAAATAAAATTTATAATATTATAAATATTTACTTATTTAATAATATTAAAAAATTATATGAAAAAATTGTCCGCCAACCGTTTCTATTTTATTCTACTGCCTTGTAATCTAGATAAATTATAAAATTTATTAAAAAATATGAGTGACAGATGACGAGGTGGCATGATATTGGGCATGGAGGGTGTGAACGCCTAGCTAAATCTAACGTGGAAAGCAAGATCCAGCTCGGCATCATCAGCATCAGAATGTCAACACGTGGAAAGGGTTTGGTTTTGGTCCCCACCTAATACTATAAACTACTAATTCAAATCCTTGACTTATGCAATTGAATCATTGAATTTTATGGTAATAAAAAATAAATTAATGAGATTGTTTGAGTTTAAAAGGATGGTTGAGAACAATCGCGTATGCCATGACCACTCTTTTCTATTCTCTTTGCATTCGCTTTACGTGTTTGTATATGCTACACTTGAAAGTAATGCTGTGTCGTGCACGAACAGAACGATTCAGATGATTAAACTGATATGCATTCAGTCAATTTATTTTCCTTGTTCACTAATGATTAATTATCTAATAATAAAAGGTTGTCCAAAGTAATTGTGTTTCTCTCATACCTATTTCATTCCAAAGTTTGTTTATTTATTTATTTACGGTTAAGATATACTTAATTAATATTTTCTCAAATAATTTTAAAAGTACATCTTTAGACCAACATGGTGTACTTAAGGGAGTGCTAGCTTTAAAACTTTAACACTAAATTTGACACAATATTTATTTATTAGTTAATCTAACTTTAATGCTATTGTAAAATCTAGCAAATTCTCCAAATGTAAACATGAAAAAGTCTCACAAGATTAAATAAAAGACTAATGTGTTTCACTAAAACAATAAAGGGTTTGTTTAGGTTAAAGGTGTATTAAATATATTTTTTCATCATAAATTTATATTGAAAAAATAAAAATTAATTTTTAATTTATCAACTGTCTAATTAAATTCATCTGATATTAAAATTAAAATTAATTTTTATATTTTTCTATACATATTTATTATAAAAAATACTTTTAACATAAAGACATCGGTTAGAAAAAT